GAATCATGGTTCAAGTTAATCATCTGCTTGCCCACTCCAGTCTCCGCTCTGTTCATCATGAAGCTTATCTTTCAGTGTAGAGCGTGATTAATAGGCTTGGGAAGAAGTGGAGGAGGAGGAGGAGTTTATTCTGTATAGGCAGGATGGCAGTGGTTCAGGCAGCAGCCTAGGATTTGCGGGGCCTGGGTTCAAATGTCTGCTCTGCCACTGACTCCGTGTGATCTTGGGCAAGTCACTTAACCTTTGGGAGCCTCAGTGCCTCACCTGTACAAAGAGGATAATAATGCTGCCCTGTCTCCCAGGGGTTTCATGAGGATAGATACGTTAAAGATTGTGAGGCACTGAGCTAATGCAGCAATAAGGGCCAAATAAGTACCTGAACTAGGTAGATCAGGGCAATTGCTGGTCCATCTGTGCTCAGAGCCATCAGCTCTTTTTTGATGCTGTTCAAGGATGGGTGGGAAGTAAGAATAATTGTTTAAAGATCAATAGCACATGGTTAATTGCATGCAAATCAGCATAGGGGTGTTCCCTGAACTGTTGCATTGCTCTTTCTCTTCATCTAGCCGCGTTAATGATCCAGAAGAAGAAAAAGCAGTATATTAATCAGAGCTGACAGATGCTAATTGTAAAGGGTGGTGCAAAGACAGTGATACAAATGCATCTGGGATTTATTAGTATAGAACTGTGAACATAAATGACCAACCAGGGATTCATCCTGGGGACTTGCATGCTGTCATGCCAACAGGGACCCCGAGGTCCTAGTGGACAGCAAACGAACCATGAGTTTGAAGCAAAACAAAATTGACCACAGCATCCAATGGGGCATCACGCCACTGTGCAGGAAGGTAGCAGTTCTCTCTGGCCCTAGTGTGGCTGGGTCCTGGGGCAGTGCATTCTGGGACAGAAAGACACAAGAGAAGAGCAACAGAAATTATTTGAGGTGGGGAGGAATTGACTTCACATTCAGCTGGTTAAATCTGGAGTATTGCTGGGGCAAGGGCCCGCTCCGAGTTGGATCTGGCTCCGGCCCAAACTTTGCCGCTGACCGCAAGGTCTGCTCTGGGCCAGGGTTGCCAGGTGTCTGGTTTTTGCCCTGACTGTCTGTTATTTGGGACTCCCATCCAGTAAAAAAAACAAAACAAAAACCCTAGAAAATACTGGACATGTGAAATGTCCGGTATTTCCTGTTTCCCTCGGACGGAAGCCCGGTGGAGACAGTTTCCCCTGCTGCGTCGAGTTGGGGAGTGTGGAGCATGGGGCCATTTAAAGGCGCAGCACCCCTTTTTTTTCCCCTCAATAACTTTGGTCTCTTCTCCCTCCCCCCCCCCACCCCCAGAATTTTTTCCCAGTGTTTTTTTTTGGGGGGGGAGGGGGTGTTTGGTATTTTTTGTTAAACCATCTGGCAACCCTACTCTGGGCTCAAGGTGGCAGCGGTCTGAAATGTGCTTACGCCAAGGATGGAGCACGGGCTGGCGAGGGTTGAACCACCGGGAAAGCAGGAATTTTGGCTGACGAGAGTAAAAGCTTCTGAGCAGTGAGATGCATGGAGCTGTGGAATGATCCCCTGAAGGAGGGCTCACTCTCAGGGCGGTCAGAGCGTGTCCTGAGAGGCCGTCTTCTAGTCTTGCCCGGCTCACGCCAGCGAAGCGCCGTTTGCTCTTGGATTACATGTAATTGGCTTTTTTCTTGCCCTTTTCTAGTGTTCCCAGTTGCCATGGAGGATTCTGCCATGGACTCGACTCCTGAGAGCGCTGGTCCAGAGGGCGCACTCTTCAGCATGACGGATGTGTTTCTCTTCTCGCTCATCATTGGCCTGCTTTCTTACTGGTTCCTCTTCCGCAAGAAAAAGGAGGAAATCCCTGAATTTACCAAAATCCAGCCAATGTAAGTGCCCGTCTGGGTGAATGTGGGATGAATGTTCCTCAAAAGTGCATCGTTGGGTTGCGAAGGGGGATTCTCGCTCCCCCTTGTGCCAAGTGGGCCGGCAGGGGCCTGGCAGGTTGACTTGGTCCCGGGTGATCCCTTTCTCGTTATGGAGCTGCCCTGTGGTGATCTGTCCTTGTTGTGTCTCGGCACTCTGGCTAGGGTCCATGTTCGTCTGATTTTGTTCTGGGTACGCAGAGTCCAGTGATGGAGAAGTCTTCAAAGTCAACAAGGGCTTCTGGGTCTTCTCCCCTTTCATCAAGGTCTTGGGTATGGACCTTGAACCTTCAGGGTCTTCCCCACGTTGGTTCCTGGGTGAGGGACGGACGTCTGTCTGGGTCTCCTTTTTAGGGGCTGGTAGGGAACTTGGGTTCAGCCTCTTCACTGGGCTCTGATGTGGGGCCCAGTGGTGGGCAGCTAAGTCCTGTACATTGGCTTCCTGCCTCGTTTCCTGCCAGTTCCCTCTCTTTCCAAGGGAGAGGTAAATAAGGGCGCGTCTCCACAGCAGGGCTAAAGTCGAATTAAGCTACACACCTTCAGCTACGTCCATTGCGTAACTTAAGTCGAAATAGCTTCATTCGGCTTTCGGCGTGGTCTGCCCAGCAGGAAGAGCGCTCTTCCTCCGCCTTCCCTAACTCCTGGTGAAATGAGGGTTACAAGGGTCGGAGGAAGCAGTCCTCCAGCTCGGCATTATTTCGAAATAACAGCTTGTGGTGTAGATGCACATTTTGCTATTCCGGAATAATGGTGCTGTGTAGACCCACCCTGACTGACCTCCTGGATAAAGTTTCTGACCTTCAGAAAGTCACTGGTCCCTGCTTTGCAGCCTGGGTCAAGTGAGCATTGCTCCTGAGGTGCTCCTTTCCGGGAGCTCAGGTCAGCTCTCCTCTGCTGTCGAGTTACGCGGCTTCCCTTTTTACTGGCGGGTGCAGGCTTTGCACATCAGCTCCTTAGTCCTTTCTGCTCTAGTGTGGGGCATTACACAGGCTTCTCCTTTCTTCCTGCCCCTCCTCCCACCCCTCTGTAAGTTCTCCACTAAGTGAGACTAGCGTGGGAATCCTGTTCCGACCGGGCAAGGTGCTCGCCTTGGCTGGCCTTGCTCCTTCGGGATGCCATAAGGCAGAGGAAGGCAAGATCTGGCCTGCAGCCTGCCCCCTGCCCTGCCGGGACCCTTAGGCACAGAGCAGCCCCAAGCTGCTAGCTGCTCCATGTGCCGCTTGTGGGGGGGAGGCTTTGTGTACTTGCCCCACCCACAGCACAGTCTCTCAGCTCCTGTTGTCCGGAAAGCAGCCAATGGGAGCTGAGAGATTGTGCTGGGGGATGGGGGCAACACGCAAAGCCTGACCCCTTCCCCGATGTGAGTTTGAGAGAGCTACGTGGAGCAGCCAGCTGCTTTGAGTGGTCTGGAGCTTCGGCAGGCAGGGAGCCTGTCTGAGGGTCCTGCTGGGATGCTGGCTGGGAGCCCCCTAGGTAAGTGCCTCCCAGCCGGAGCCTGCCTCTGGCACCCCAGCACCTCCTGCACCCTAACTCCCTTCCCCAGGTCACCATCCAAACCCTCTGCACCCCCTGCCGCTGGTCACAACTCCCTCCCAGGTCCTGTACCCCCTTCTACAGGTATCTGAACTCCCTTCCCCAGGTCACTACCCAAACCCTCCAGGTCACAACTCACTCTCAGACCCTGCGCCCTCTCCTACATCCTTCCCCCAGGCCAGAATCCTCTCCTGCACCCATAACCCCTCCTGGACCCTGCAGCCCATTCCCCTGCCCCAGGTCACAGCATCCTCCTTCACTCAAACTCCCTCGCAGACCCCACACCCTCTCCTGCACTCCAGTCCCCCACCCCGAGCTCCCTTCTGCATCTCACCTCCGTCAAAAGTGCAGCCTTTGACCACTTCCCAAAATCTTGGAGTGGGCTCCCCCCATCAGAAATTATTGCCCACCCCTCAGAGGGGGAGCTGACTTTCCCTGCTGCTCACAGCAGTTTGGTGGCACCATCAGTGCTTGTCTTCACTTTGGCCCACTGAGTTGCAGGGTGGGAGGAGTTTGCTTCTCATAACTGTCCCGTGCAGAACCCAGGGGTTGTACAGCAGCCTTGGGCCAGCCATTGTACCTGGCCTCTGTGCTCAACCTGCTTTCAGGGGGCAGGAGAAAAAACGTCGCCCCGTTGGTAATTCTCTTCACTGCCATCCGCTGATTTGCTTTCTGCCAATCATGTGAGTTTCCTGGCAGCAGTGTAGATTCAGCAGACTTCTTCCCAGGGCTCCATTCGCTAAGGCAGAAGTCACCAACCAGTAGACCGGGGTCTGCTGGTAGATCTTGGAACCTTTGGCAGGTGATCCTGAGAGGTTTGTCTGGGAAGCTATCAAGTGCTGCACTTCATCTACCCCTCTCAGCACTGCCGTGCTGCTCCTGCCTTGGAGTGCCGCTCGCTCCTGGGAGCCTCCTGTTTGCTGTGCAGGGTGCAGGAAGAAGAGGAGGGGGAGGGTGCTGATGTCAGGGTGCCCCTCTCTCCAGGCTGTACCCCATCTCCACAGAGCGGAGGGCAGGAAGAAGAGGAGGGGGAGGGTGCTGATGTCAGGGTGCCCCTCTCTCCAGGCTGTACCCCATCTCCACAGAGCGGAGGGAGGCAGGGATGGAAGGAGTTTGCTGGCTGCTTTTGGGAGTGGTGCAAGCCAGGGTAGGGGTGAGCCTGCCTTAGCTCCCTGCATCACCATCCAGAATCCACCTGCGGTAAGTGGTGCCCAGCTGGAGCCCACATTCCAAACCCCGCCTCAGTCCTGAACCCCTCCTGCATCCCAAACCACTGCCCCCAGCCTGATAAAAGTGAGGCTGGGGGAGGGAGGGTGGATGAGCAGGGGCGGGGCCTCAGAGAAGGGGCGGGAAGGAGGCGGAGCCAGGGTGTTTGGGTTTGAGGTAGATTCTGGATTGCACTTAAATTCAAAAAGTGATCTTGTGCTTAGAGAGGTTGGAGACCCCATGCAAAGGTGTGGGGCTGGATCGTCCCCTAGAAGCGCTGTCCTGTGGGGCTGCAAGGGTGGATGGAGTCTCCCTGACAGCAGGGGAAGGGTTGGAGAAGCAATGCTCTCTTAAACAACACCTCACAAAAGTGGCCTTGTTGGGTTACACCAGGAGACCTTTCTTCAGAGTTTCTTGCATCGGGGGATCATTAACAGACTGGTCAGATGACCCACCAGCCTGTGACCAGAATGCAGTGCTGAGTTAACTGAAAGCTTTTGAAACCCACAGAGCCGAATTTGTGCCTTTTGCAAGAGCTTGTGACTTGGCTGAAGTCGGCTGAGTTGTGCGCACTTAGAGGGCTGCATTCAGCCTTATGTCTCTTGGCTCTTGACCGAGCTTAGAGGACGGGTGAAGAGTTAATGATTGTCTCCTGGGTTTATTTATGGGCCCGTTTCGCATTGCACTTGTCCGTCCGAAGGGCCTCATAAAAGCAAGATTAAGGTGCCAGCCGATGGCCTGTTTCTGGACTGCTGCTCCTCTTGCAAGTGCCAGCCTCCAGGAAGGCAGGGGCAGCCTGTCTGAAAGCATCAGGCTGTCCCTTGCTTAGCTGTCGCTTCTGTCTCTCGTAAGCCAACGTGGCTTTTAATAGCAGGTACCAAAGAGAATTGGTAACTCTTCTCTGGCAATGCGAGCAGCGCATCTGGGGAGCTCCTTCGTTCGTGCCTGAGCCAGAAAAGAACTCTAAGTCTGCAGGGATTTATCTGTGACTTCTCTGTGCCAGACTTGCTTGGGCCTATAAAGTTATAATTCTTATAGACCCGGGAACATATGAGGAGTGCTAGTCCTGGGCAAAGTATTTCCCAGTGTGAGTTGGGGATTAAACTGCCTTTCCTCAGTAGGATTCACACCTCTCCGGCCAGTTCCTTAGCTCACCCCATCGGTATTTTGAGTCACTGGCCTTTCATTTTCTCATTTATAGCCAGCGCCCAGCTTCATCAATGCAGCATTCAGATCAAGATTTAAACCCCACAGTAGCTCAGAAATCTGGAGCTCTTTGAGTGAATGCACATGTCCATTCCCCTTCAGGTGCGAGCCCAGTGCCCCGGCATGTGAAGATTTTCCCATAATGTGACTCATGTGGGAGCTTGTGTGACCTTTGCCTCACACTGCTGCATGAGGGTATAAAGGGCAGAGCTGCTCCGCACCCCGCTGGTTCTTGCTGACTCCGATTGGCAGTTGGAGTGTGTTGGCTTGTTTCTACGAGTGTCTCCCTCACGGGGAACCTCTCTCAGCTTGACTGCGTATAGTTGGCGTTTGTTCATTGTGTAGATGAATGTCAGTTTCGTTCGTTGTTTTCTGGGCACATCGGTTCCCCTTGTTTACAGGGTGCGGACCCCTGATAGTGGAGGATGCCTTGGCTTCCAGTGTGTAAGCCTGGTGCGGGCTGCACAAGATCCGTGCTGGTAAATTCCACCTGCCTGCCGTGTCTAAGTCAGGGTTGCATTGGGGACAGCTGCCAAACTTGCAGGGACGTTGAGCCTCACCTGAAGAAAGATGGAGATGGAGGCTGCCTGCATCCCCTTACGGCTTGCGGCACGCTGCACAGAGCTTCGGCAGGGTGTGGGATGCCTCCCCCAACGCTGCCTCCAAACCCTGGCAGCTGCCCCCTTCCCTGTGCCAAGGCCGGTGCAGAGCTCTGATTTGTCCAGGGAGCTGGGACTTGCGCAGCTTAAAGATAAGGGTCCCCTGTACTGTCCACCAGTAAGTGCTCAGGAGGATGGGGAAGGGGCCCTCTAGTGAGAGACACTCCCCACAGCTCCCGCCTCCTGTCCCCTCCCAGGTACCGAATACTTCTGGGCAGCAGCAGCAGCAGCAGGAAGGTATCTCTGTAGCCATGGCGCCAGAGCCACGTGTGGCAGCAGGCGCCAGAGCCACGGGTGGCGGCATGAGGCTTAGTCCACCTTTGGGTGCCTGACTCCCCGGTGGTACAGGCGCATCCTCGG